TGTGTGTGTGTGTGTGTGTGTGTGTGTGTGTGTGTGTGTGTGTGTGTGTTGGTAGCTAAACATTCCCCGTCAAAGTGTGCTTTGGCGCCACAAATCCATTACATGTTGAGTTACTGGTAATTCAACTGTTCATGAGGCAAGAAAAACTCTACACATTTTTGTAGTGCAAAAGTTAAACCCAGTCCATGTCAGCTAGGGTCCAAGATTTTTATTTAAAAAAAAATTTGTTTTATAAGCCCAGAGAAATGAGTTCTTATGCATGGCAATTTTGCTTAATTTGCAACTCCTAGGTTCTTATCTTTTGGAAAATTGGCATGAGAGTCTTAAAAGGCAACTATACATTTACTGTGGGAAGTGGCATTTAGATTCCTAGCCAAATGCAGTGTGTGGAATAGGAGTGGAGAGTGTCAGTTTAGGTTCATGTGCTTTGAGCTAACAGTATCAGTTGGAATTTATTTTTTAGTACAACTACTATCTGAGCAAAATTTTCAGGTTAGCTGTTCACCTGAAAGCTAGAGATAAAGCAATCCATATGACTACTGAGTTTGTTCTTGAAAAAAAAAAGATTTCTTTCAGATTATTTTCTTTAAAAGCATCAAAAAAAAGTAAATTAATGTTTTTCCATAAAAAGAAGGCTGTTTTCCTCAGTATGCCAAACCAGGATTTTATAGCAAAGCGACCACTTGGTTTTTCAGTAGTTTCACTAGTCCCCATAATTCAGTAGCTAACATCAAAGTTTCCAAGTCCTTCTGCCTAGAGCTCATATGTTTGGACTGGCTAGTTTTACAGCATTCCTGAGCTGGCTAAATAATGGCACGGATCTTAGAAACATATGCCAGGGCCATATAGATAACACATACACACACGCACACACACACAGACACACAGACACACACATCTGACTGATAGCCCTCGAGTCCATTTAAGGATGACAAAAGCAAGGGGACTTTCTCCTTCACTGCAACATAATATCCTTCAGATTCTCTTGCAGGATTGTGTCCTTCACAGCATGAAACACAAAGCGGATGTTTTCAGTGTCTATGGCAGTGGTGAAATGGTGAAAGAGTGGCTTACTTCGGTTCCGCCTTTTTCTGTCAAAACATTGAACTAAGTAGCACTGAACATCCTCCAGCCTATGAGGGTCACCCTTAAAATCTGAGAAGTGCTTCTTAATGCTGACAGTCTTCACCTTCTCCACTAGGAGGTCCATTTTATTGAGGAAGAGAATGATGGAAACATTGAAAAAGAGCTTGTTGTTGACGATGGTCTCAAAGATGTTCATTGATTCGACCAGCCGATTGGTGCGCCTGTCCTCCATGAGGACCTGGTCATATTCACTGGAGGAGACCATGAATAGGATTGAAGTGATTCCATCAAAACACTGGAACCACTTCTGACGTTGAGATCGCTGCCCACCCACATCAACCATCTTGAAAGGTATTTTTTTAATAATGAAGTCATGTTCCACAATTCCTTTCGTGGCTTTTCTGGCCAGCAGAATATCTTGTTTACTAGGAAAATAATTCTGTGGAATAAAAGATTTGGGATGGAGGTAGAAAAAGAAGAGGGATCGGGGGAGGAGGGAGAGGGAGAAAGGAATGTGGGAAAAGAAGGATGAGAGGAAGGGAAAGAAAGATGATAATTTAAAAGAAGCTGAATAAACATACAATATTAAATGCCATAAAATACAAATTTACTATAATGCATGGAATTAAATGGTTCATTAAAAATAAAGGCTCAGTTTGAGGAAGAGTCTTCATTCTCACTACTCACTAAGTCAAAAGGCTTGTTTATTTCTTTGCCTTTGAGAAAAATATTCCATCTTTTTTTCTGAGCCATAGTCATCCTTTTACATTTCAAAAGTCCAGAAGTATTTTCTTGTCAAGAAATGCTTTACAAATAGCATTTGTTAATTAAAAATCTATTTGAAGCTCCCAATATATTTAGTATGCTGTCCCTGGAAAGACCATATAATCAGCATCAGCACATCTATACAAATGTAATTAACCTTTCCTGTACTTACAAGGCACTTTAATTTTGAACTCCTCCTACGGTGTTCTGAGCAAAGGAATTCTAAGAGAAAAAATTATTTTTCCTCTTTATTTCTTTATTTATCAGTAACTAAAGTTTTGTAGTATCCAAGAAGCTGAGAATTTCCTCTCTTTGAGTAAGGAAATTCTTACTGCTGGAATCTCATTTCCCCTTTCAGTCTAACACAAAATACAGATAAAAAGATGTACAAAGTGGTATTCCTGTTGATAAAATGAGATAATGCAAAGCATTCTGTAAACCATAATGACCTATGTAAATACTATTATAATATCACATGACAAAAACAGCCCATATTTAACACCAAAATTTTTTTTTTTACTTAAAAGAGATCTCAGACAAAATCTTCTAATTCTGTTTCACAAATTTTCCTCTAATTTTTAGTGGCAGGGGTCTTTGCTCACCAGCTGGCCAATCCGGTCCAAGTTATCCAGGAAATACTTCACGGATTCACCCTGTCAAAGAAGGAAAAATATCTGTGACTCAATCTTGCCGCCATAAAGCAAACAGACGAATTTATCAAACTAATTTTTTTTTTTCATTTTGCTTCTTTGCAAAAGCAAAGTTAAAAAGAATTCAAAAACAGACATCAATATAGAGATGCTCTAGTGATGTTTGGGCCGGGAATGAATCAAATGAGCTGTGGGCTGTAATACAAAACAGCCCTGCTGTGCTTAATTAAAAACAAAGAGTTCTAGCAAAAACACTACAGTTTTCATAGTAAATTTAACTACTAAATTGCTGACCCTGCATTTCCGGTAATTTCTCTTCTGAATCCCAAATCGGTGAATATAGAAGGTACATGTAATCAGAAAGTTATTATTAATAGTAGTAATAATACAGTTTGATGACTTTGTTTTTACACCACAGTCACTTCCCCTTAGATGTCCCCCACACACCCCTAACTCCAACCTTTTAACAAAGGTCAAATCCTCTATTTTAAAACACTTGCATAAAACTAATAGGTGAGGTAATCATTTCTGATAGTATAGAGCACATTGCACAACCATAGTTCCCTCATCCCCTGTCTAGTGAGGAGAAAGAAGCATGTCTTATCCTAAATTCTCTGGAATCAAGATTAGTCACTGCACCCAGAATTCATTTACCTCTTAGTGTTTTAATTTACACAATTGTAGTCATTGCTTATATACTGCCCTGATTCTGCTTACTTCATTCTGGAACAGTTCATGTAAGTCTTTCCACATTTCTCATACTTTTTTTTTTACGGCACCATTGTGTTTCATTACATTCATACATCACAATTTGTTGAGTTATTTCACAACTGAGACAAGTCTGTGTCTCAATTATGTCTCCCAGTTTTTGGCTACCGCAAAAAATACTGCTGTGAGTGTGTGTGTGTGTGTGTCTATCTATCTCCTTTCTTCCTATCTTTGACCTATTTGGGGCATATGTCCAATAGTGGCACTATTGGGTCAAAGGGTATGTACAATTTAGCAGTTTCTCTCATATAACTTTAAAGCTTTCTATAATCCTTGAAGAAACCCAAAGCTCCAATGGTGGATTTAATGTGTCTGTCTTCCCATAGTACCTTCAATGTTATTTTCACTTTTTGTCATTTTTGTCACTTTGAGGGATGTTGGGCCATACCTCAGAGTTGTTTTAAGTTTCTCTTGCTATATTTGGAACAAGCATCGTATAGTTACTGATAGTTTGGAATCTTTATGAAAATTATTTATTCATACCCATTCACACTTTTATATTGGGAAATAGTTTTTTATTTTATATATTTACATTTATAGTCTATTTAGTTTGGTTCCCAGATTCCATATCTACGAATCCATTCTCTCTCTCCATTAAAAAAATGACATGACCTTTTATATTTAGGTCATATTCATCTGGAAATAATGTGGGGGAAAAGGAAGAATTTGGGGGCATTGCATTATCATATTTCAATAATAATCAAAACTATCTGATCCTGACTAAAGAATAAAAAAGCATTTCAGTGAAACCAACTAGATAAACAAGGCTCAGAGGTAACTGAGTATGGCAGTTTTGTGACTGATAAACCCAAGGATAGAAATTACTGAGGGAAGAGGTTCTCTGACAAAAAGGAAAGGGAGTTCAGCAGAAATGAGGTCTAGATCAAAGCATCTTACATTATATCCCATAATCGGAATGGTTTTTAAAAACCATTTTAAAACCAATGTTACCAATATGGTAACATTCCTCTTCCTAAAAAGACTTTGATTAGAACAAGTTTTCTTTAAAGACAAAACCACTGCCAAAGTTAGCTCTATGGACATATATCCCTTGGCTCCTTCGAAAAGTTGGCTGTACTCATAGTAATGCCAAGTGACAACATAATGGTGAGGACAGAATCATATTATAGGGGATTAACAGGGAAATAAGTGCTGGGTAAATGGAGGCAGGAAGTGTTGGCTAACTGTTCAAGATTCAGAAAAAACATTATTTTAAAACTGAAAGGGGCCTTAAAGGTTATATGGCCCAACCTCTTAATTTCATAATAGAAGAAATTAATGCCTAGATCAGCTGAGGTACATGAAGTGAGATCACAGAATCTAAGAGCTGGAAGGGGTCTTCAGAGGCCATCTAGTATGACATATACCTGCCAATTTCATTTTGAGATAGCTCTAACTTGCTAATAAGATTTAATTTATAGGAATCTTGCAACTTCCACCAACTGTTGGCTACTTGTATCTCCTCCGTGATCAAACAGAGAAATTCTAATCCCTAGCTAATTTGGCAAAAGTTACGCAGCTAGTTCAGCAGCATACCTTATCAGAACCAGAATTAATTGAGTCTTTACTTAAGATTTTAATAAACTTGGAAGTGACCATTGTGGTCAAATGAACTTTCTTAATCATTAATAATCTATCAAGGAGTAGGAGGAAGTTAGCATTAATTTTACATCTGTGTTATATTGCACTTCCACTGATCACTGTATGCCCCTCAGCCTATGGAGTGGAGTGGAGATGATTGGAAATTGTTTGACATAATTCTATTCCACCAAGTATTACGGAGGCATTAGAGAAACGGGAAAAGGGTAGTTGGAATGTACTAAGCTGCAAGGTCTGGGCGGAGAGTAATTGTGGAGCTTGTAAAGGAACGAATCAAAGTTTTCACAAATGTTAAAAATTATTTTTACAAGTAATTGTGGAAAAATAAAATACTAAGAATTCAAAAAATTAAAAAAATGTTCTTGCTTTGTCTGCACATCCTGCCTCCTCCCACGTTCAACACAGGAAACAGCTGTGCAAGTGTTAAAGTTGTTGGGATGGATAACAAACTTACCTGATTTATTACTTACACCTTCCCCTGAAATCCCTTCCTCTCTTACCTCCTATTGAACTATATCATAACAAGTTATAGTGTTAAGGCCCTGGAAAGTAAGTTTAATGAAAGCTTCCTAAAAGTATTAAGCTTTCCTCCATCCACTTTTCCTATAAATCTCCGAAGTTAATTACAGTAACTGAAATTTAGTTCCCCACAGAGCTTGCCATATTCCAAGAGATTTAAGGACTGTGGACATTCCAGATATCCCTTTAATTCTTTTTTTTAAAAAAATATTTTATATTGCCCCCAATTACATGTAAAAACAATTTTTGACATTCCAAATTTGAGTTCCAAATTCTACCCCTTCTTCCCTCCCCCTCCTTAGACAGTAAGCAATCTGATATAGGTTATACATATTTAATCATGTAAAATATTTCCATAGGAGTCATTTTGTGGAGGGAAAAAACTTCAAAGAAAGAAAGAAAAAAGGAAGGGAGGAAGGAAAGAAAGAGAATATCAGTATGCTTCAGTCTGTATTTAGATGCCATCAGTTCTTCTGGAGGCAGAAGCATTTTTTGGGATCATCTTGGATCACTGTATTACTGAGCATCTACGTCATTCACAGTTTTTCATCGTATAATACTGCTGTTACTGTGCACAGTGTTCTCCTGGTTCTGTTCACTTCACTCTGTATCAATTCATGTAAGGTTTTTCTGAAATCATCCTGCTCTTGATTTCTTTTTTTAAATCTTTTTTTTTGGGGGGGGGCTAGGCAATGGGGTTAAGTGACTTGCCCAGGGTCACACAGCCAGTAAGTGTCAAATGTCTGAGGCCGTATTAGAACTCAGGTCCTCCTTACTCCAGGGCTGGTGCTCTATCCACTGCACCCCCGAGCCGCCCCTTGCTCTTGATTTCTTACAGCATAATATACCACAACTTGTTCAGCCAGTCCCCAATAGATAGGCATCACCTCAACATCCAATTCTTAGGCACTGAAAAAAGAGCTGCTATGTGTATTTTTTAATCTCTTTGGAATACAGACCTAGTATTTATCCCTTCACTTCTGAGAGAGAAATAAACTAAGTAGAAGGCTGTACAAATGCAGCAACTCACAAGCCATTTCACTCTTGTCCTCTTCTATTAATATGCTGAAAGACAGGAAGAAACTGGATTCTGTAAGAATTATTAAATCCCTCTTCCAAACAGCAAGATCACCAGTGACTCAGGTTGTATACTAATAGGCCGTGCTATTTTTATGAAATAATAGCTGTATAGAATAACTGGAAAACATTAACATCACCACTGTGAGAATACATTATCTCTGTTTTGTTGAGGAAAACCTAGGAACAAATGTTTTACTCAAAGATACAGGAGTGAGGTTGCTGAAGTCAAGAAATGGTCTTTAAAAAAAATGTCCAACCTGGAAGAATCTTAAAATGTCCCCAAATATCAAGATAAATCTTCTTTCCTTAGTTTTCTTTGTCCACTGGAACTGTGCATTTAACCCGGTAGTATTTTGTAACCCTGAATTTATATATTTTGATTTTGTGCTATTTTCCATTCTGTGTGGTCGGTGGCATCAACTCATTACCAGAAGGACCATATACTTAAATAAGAAAAGCCTCTAGTTTCATGTCAATGCAGTTTCAACCTCAACTATACAGATAGCTCATCAGGTCCTACACTAAAACTCTATCATTTAATTTGCACAGAGAATATAGTATAAGGGTCTCTAACACAGGGAAGCTGTAAGGAGGGTATGAATCATTTAGAATCAAACTTGAGATTAATCTATAATGATAGACAAGTTCAGACATTTTATTATTCTCCTGGACTGAACCAGAATACAACATATCAGAGTCTGAATGATCATTGGACTTGGCATTCTGCCTACAGGATGATCATCTATGACACATGTCCCACAGCACCAGCTCATCAGAGTGACCAGTTTTAAAATTCAATCATACATTTAAAATAAAATGAGCATTGTGAAAACTCAAACACTCCAGATGAATGCATGTAGCTGAATCTGTGTTGCTGGTGTGGAAATAACAACTTAGTACCTAAGGAAGGGTATGTCAAAGTACATACTATATAAATCTCTTCACATACAACATGTGATAGCAGAGAGTACACTAAAATTTTTATAAGTTCTTTTTCCTGGATTGAAGAGTTATTGGACTGCAGATTAAGTGAAACA